TTCCTCTTCCGACAATGCCGGATACCTTCGGTTCGCCTCTTCCTTTCTCATTCCTCCCCCTCGTAAATCAATTCCTCAGTTAACTGTATTATAGGTCGCCTTGTTCTTTCACCACTAGCGACGCAAAAATTGTCGTGCTATTTGGACTATCGCAGTCTGCCACCCATATACGTGAACATGATACTAGGTCCTGCTTCCGAAGCTATCAAAGTGTTCAGGTCGCTCCGAATATCGAGACATTCACCTGACGTGTGGAAGCTCTTGTGGATCAATCAGAAAAGACCCGAAAAGATCTACTGTGCGTACATGGTATATTATCCTCTTTTTTCAACCTGTCGGTAACGATACGCAAACGCGCCGCTCGGATATGTTCCTTCCTTGTTGCGATTTGTCCGACACTGCCAATCTGAGCTCGAGAAATGTGACATCCACATGGGTACTGCGAAACTAGCTTAGGTGTTGTGTTGTCTTTGTTTCTATTCATTGGACACTCTAAACATATTTCCATCACAGGGACTAGTCGCAGAGGTAACAATACTCCATTCAGTTAGTCGACGCCCCCCACGCGTCATCCACGCCGCCAACTCCACAGGTAGAAACGTCGTCGTTAAAATATTCTCCTACATCCTACACCCACAATCCAACGTCCCTGAAAACATCCAAGACCGAAAATAGTCTTTCTAGGAGTTCTCCCCATCTCACCTTGAGTTTCTCTCCTCGGTGGAGACTTATTAAAGTGTAGGGGCCCATGCACCATGATCAGCGCACGTACCTGTCGTTTGTAGAGCGGCATGTTGCTTCGTGGGGTGTCAAGCACCCAGATCTTCAATCCCAATTAATTTTGACCACCGAAGGCTTGGTTTGGTGGTATCTCCGAAAATTGTTGCGCCACGTCGGGGGCACGCATACCACGCATGATGTGTTGGTAGAAGACTACGTGAAGACGACCATCAGGGTATGCAATTTGTTGTGGCGCAGGACGCTAGGGGGGCACACGACGATATGTTCTCGAATTTGTCACCCTTGCAGGAATGGGAGGATGCATCCGATAACTGCGGTTCGATTTGTGTGCGAGGCTTGATGTATGTTCTGCATTCTCAACGACGGATTTTCATCTCTCTGATGTCCGAAATTCAGTATCAACAAGGTGTACGATAGAACAAGTATCGATTCTCGCGGCGGTTGCTGTGTAAATATCATCTGAACGTATCTGCATGCGCCGTCGCTACTTCTTCCCTCAACATAGGAATATGGGCAAGATAGAATACACTACTACACCTGTTTAAGTCCCGAGCCGAGACATTCTGAATTCGAGGGGGCTCACTCTGGAGTTGTGAGTACTAATTCATTCACCGAGATATCCTGAATAGTCGCCTGTGATAGACAGTCGAAATCGAGAATCGGGAGCTCAACTTATGAATCGTCAACTACTCTGCGTCTGTGTCAAGATTGGAGGAGCAATTAGAAATCTGGAATAAATGATTATGCGTTCCCAGCAGCGCTACGACGGCGGGAGCATACCTCGATCCGGAGACGAATATATACGGGCCTTATGAGTGACATCACACTCTTCCCTTCCAAGATCGCTAAGCTGTTATTCTAACGTTGACTTTTGTATCCTCCACCAAACGCCTGCCTGAAAAATAGCACAGACTATCCCCCAGACAACCTATTAACCAAACATTCACTCAAATTCCCAAGAGTGACGTTCTCATGACTGCCAATGTGAGTACCAACGTTTACTGCACATCATTGACTAGGTATGTCTCAGCAACATCTTTACAGCAGAGACAACACTCACATGCATTCTATTGGCTGTTTTTGGGAAACCCAACCCTGAATTTGCATGAATAATGCGCTTGGTAGCCGTCCTGCTCCTTTATCGAAGCGGGGCACGTAGAATTGTGCGAGCACACTTGCGAGCGTGCGTTGGCGTTCTCTCGCATGCGTTGTCACACTTGCGTTTTCGTTTGCGAGCGTGACAAAGAACTGTCTCGGAATTTCTTATCTAAAAATAGTAGCAGACGTTAGCCAGTGATTCTAGATGAAGATGATATAATACCATTTGCCGACGATTACAACGTTGAAGGTTCTTTTGAGGTAATCCCCCCTCAAAGTTCAAAGTCCAAAATCAAGAGCCAAAACATTGAGTTGCAGAGTAATTATTCAACTCGAGATTCTAGTAGATCAATAATACATTCAAGAAGTGTCACGATGTAGAGTATAATCCTAAGAAAATTGAGGTACGATGCGGACAGACTCACAGGAAGGAGTTCAAGACAGCCGGAAGAAGAGAACCCAAACAGAGGTCTTGCAGAGGTCGTGGGCCAGAGAAGGTTAAGTTCCATACAGTAAGAATCATAAAAATATCAAAAGAACCAAGATATAATGACAGGAAGCCCATGCCGCAGAAATATAAGAAGCGACCAACAGTGAAGACGGTTCAACTCGAATCGAACGCAAATGTTACACGATGTCACACATCCGTCACACTTGCGAGCCAATTGCGAGCCGCTACCGCTCGCATGCGTTTAATTTCCAATCGCATGCGTTATTTTGGAGAACACATGCGTGCATCTTCTTAAGGCTTGCGTTCGACTTTGGGATGCATGCGTGACATCTTTGTGAGATACGTAAGCAAGGTTTATTCATTTGAGAATCTGTTCATCCTGCCAAGTTCAAAAAAAGGTCAGATCTCATAGTCATTTCGAAGTGAAATGTCGCTGTGATGGAGGGAACTTTTTTTGTAGCGAACACAGGTACCTTTCTAGCATTAAAATATTATTCAATGGCTTCGCTGAGTCATAGTAAGTGACATTAACCTGGTGGGACATATCCAGGAACTCGGAAAGAGTAAGTAAATGTTCAAGATAAGACACACTTTACTAGTGACTTTAAAACAGAACTAAGCATTCGTATGAAACACAAACAAAGGTATCCATAGGCGCACAAATGCATGCAAGTTAAACGCAAGCGAACGCAGTTCAACTTGAGTTGAACGCAAATGAACGCAGTTGAACGCAAGCTCGCAAGTGTCGCTCGCAAAATTCTCCTGGCCCATCGAAGCGCCTAGGAGACGCCAGCTCTTCATCGCTATTGTTTCAGTATCATCAAGCTTTGAGACGGTGTTCTTTCCGACGGCCAAGAGTGATAGCGAGATAACTACAGTCTTCTAGCGATGATACAACAGAGTCAGGCAGAAGAAGATGCTGGTCCAACAGATGTAAACATCGCGTTCATAGCTAACCGCCGACCAGCCGAACTTGTCAATTTATTCGAATTTCGCCCGTACGGAAGTATCATTCTAGCACAGCGGTGGGTACGGAATCATTGTGAATTGTGTTACATGACGAACTTTTGTTCGTTAAGGCGCAGAGTCCACGCCGCCAATTCTTTCCGGTTTCCTGGAGATCATTTTAACCGGTTTTTGGGTTTTTGATTTTTTGTCTAGGGTATCTCTCGGACAAGGTAATAGCACTGCCTTCCGCTACTTTCGTTACCATAGAGCCGACCTGTCAAACTACTACCGTATTTCCGGAAGCAAGTGGGGCCTCTCGGAGCCTACGAAAGCCCTGCAGTACGCGCCTGCTTGATATATCCAAATGGACACTTACGGGCTAAAACGATACAGAAAATTTATTAATATGCGAGGAGCGTCACGTTGTATCTCAGTAGCATTCAGGCCTTCTTCCCCCCCCCCCCCCCTGGGAAGATCTTGCTTTCCTTCTTTCTGTTACCAGGAAACTTGAGCGTAGAAGAATCTTGAATAAACAAGATACCAATCAACACTACCCTGCCTGATGAAGGTTAATTTACCTGCGGACGTCGTATAGATATACCATTTTAGTTTAGTGGCAAGTGGTATATTATGGGCGACTCAACCCTGTTCCTTTTCCTCGGTTCGGTCCCCTGTGTCCTCGAGCAATCTTTGGTCTAGGACGTACGCCGTGTTCTCAGCACATTTGAAGGTCGTTTATGTTGACTATCCTCGTCACCATGATACCACGGTACATCCCAGTTGGCCCTCCTTGTGTGGACGGATTTCAATCACTTTTATATCATAATTCTGCACGTGTGAACTTTTCTTGCCCCCAGTTCGACACTCCCAAGACGGACGTTATTTATCTTCCGCATCTGCCTCCGAGGGGAGTCCTACTTGTTACTTTATCTTGACCATACTAACGTGGTACTTTAGCTCAGCAGCGGGTGCTGCATTGTATGTCGCATAGAGTCCCTTTTGTCAGTTCGATTCCCGCTGAAGCGCAGAGTACCTGCTGATCCACCACAAGCATCAGTGGTCCCGATTCGCGCAGTAACCCTGCTGGGCATGATATTTACCGAATAAAAGGTCTCTCGAAAGGAAAGATCCCAGACCCGTGGCGAGCCTAGTGGAGCAGTGCGGTAAGCCTAACTCGACGAGGAAATCCCTCGATGATAACGGGAGGAGTGTAACGTTTCTTGTTTCAAAAACCCTTCAGCACGCGAGGCAGATTTGATAAATGCGGGCCGCCGAGCACTCCAGTCTAGTGGCTAGAGTGTGCCATCTACGTCGAATAGACCTTTTTCATCCATTGTGACACGGGTTCGATTCTTGGCGAGAAGCAGCTTCGTATAATTATCCTTGGCCGGTGTAGATTCGGCACCAAGGATTTCGCTTGACTAAACAAACGGCACAGCGATATTTGCCGGAAGGATTTGAATCCCTACCGAGACGAAAGCGTCGTTGCGCCGTAAGCGTGACACGAGAAGAGAAAAGCTTGTATACAGTATGTATATACTACAACTTGAGTACAGTATTACGACGTACAAGGTAGGTAGATAAGTATACACGAACAGGGCTTAGGATATGAAACAGGGCACGCGACTATGCGCTAAAGATGGTTACCTCCTCTCGGGATCGCTATAGCGCCGAGGGGGCGATGGGGACGGCGGGTTTGGAGGTGGATAAGAAGAGGTAGCAGACGAGGAAGGTAGCAGTGGATGAAGAGGGTAATCCCGACGTGGAGGTAGACGGGATTGACGACTGAGCATAAGACGAGTACGTCGGGGAATGAGCGGGAATATGGGTAAGGCGAATACGGGGAGTACGGGGACTGATATGGTGGATTAAAAGGGGATCCGGGGCCGGTATACCTCCGAGACGGCTGGCGGCTGCGGTGGAGGCGGCGAGAACAGCGCTGACGTCCGCCCAGGACCAGGAACGTCAGCGCTGCCCAGTTTTTTGGCTGCGGAGGCGGGGTGATGAACGGCGGTGGTCCAGGCTGGGACTGAGTCTGGGACTGGGATTGGGATTGGGTAAGCCGCTCGACGAGAGCCTCGAGGTGCTCTACCCGCGCTTTGAGCTCGTCGTACTCGGCCCGAGTCGCGTACTTTTCAGCCGGCTCGACGACAGTTCCAGAGACACTTGTTCTGCTCGCCCCGCCTGATGCACGGCGCACACGGCTGGTTCCTATCACATCTGATCTTGCGGCGCTTACACTCTAACCATCGCAGAATCAGTATTAGAATCAGACTATTATCTCGATTATACACACGCACCATGTGCAGCTCAGCGCCTGTCTCCGCCTCTTCTTCTTCTTCGGCTCGTCTACCTCCACTCTTCACCACCCTCGCCTTCACCATCACCAGCAGAAGAGGACGGGAGATACTGGATGCAGCTGTCGAATGGAGGGCAGCATCTCTAGTCATCCTACATCGTCGTCGTAGTATAAAAGAGAAAACCTGAAACACTAAAATAGCCTTTTCCGGCTTATCTCCGGCGTGATGTAATCGAGCGGTTCAAACGGATCTTGCATCGATTATGTGCGATCGATTGTGGGATGATGCCGAAATGGAAGGACATAGCTTCAGGGACGCATGGGAGGTGTTGTGCCAAAATTGCTCGCTACCACGCCGATGGTGAAACGGTTATCATGCTTGCCTTCCATAAGAGTAAGCAAGCACTAAGCAAGCGGTAAGGGTTCGACTCCCTTTCGGCGTACGGTATTCAATATCTGAACTTTTGGTCTTACTTCCCGGCAACTAAACCACCCCATCGAGGCTCCGGCCGTAACCGGTTAACCCCTGATACGTGCCTGGCTCACGAGACGCTTCCTTCTTTTGTCTTCTTCTCTTCCTCCACCATCGGATTCTCTCTTGTTCCGCTTAGCAACGTCTTGTCTTAATGACTTCCGGCGGTACCTGTAAACAGAATTCTGGCCAATCTCCGGTATCTTACTCCGCGAACCTCATGTTTCAGGGCAAAACCAACACGCCTCTTTCGCGCGTGCACCACACATTCTCCTTCCTTTGCGCGAGTATCCTTGCGGTTAGCACGTTCATAGCACAAGGATATTCGCATACGCTAGTCTGGGTTGTCTTTGCTCCATTCTATTTCGTCTCCTGCATCTGCTTCCGCGGTACCGCTGAAATAAAACCCGAATCGTTTTCAAGAATAACTCGGACTTTACCTACAAGTGGCTGTACCGATGATTGCGCGTGCTTGATCCTCCGCCACTCCGTTTCTCTCCCTCTTCTCTACGCACTTTCTTCAAGAACCTCCTCTGGAATCACCAGCAAAATTAAACCATCAGCACTCTGCCATCCTCGGATCAAGGCTGGTTATTTATACACCCGCCGAGCATCTTGTTCTCCTTATCCGAAGCCTGCGGGAAAGCCTTTTCCCTATTGTCACTAGCACTATTATTGCTTTTCGTTCCTGCTTACGCCGCCAAGTACTGGAAACGTGTAATCCAAGAAAAAAGCGTGTTGGATAGTCGTTCCCATGCCGACTATCTGCAGACAGGTGACCTTGCGTGTAGTTCCCGCCAAGTTCTTTCAGTTCGCACATTGCGGCGTTGACTTTTTACACGACTTCTTCAGGACCCGCTGTATGCACCTACCGCAAGGGACTCTCGTACCATTAATGGATATAACGAAAGAAGAGCTACCCTTCAGCACCCGTATTCGTCTCTCTAAGTCGTGAAGCGATGTCTTTTAGTACATGTACAATCTACGGATTCTCAGTCGTCCGTGCGTTCGACGAGTTTTGTTATCTCCGTCGTGTTCTCAATTTCGGGTGCGAATCAGGGTACCAGGGAGAGACGATCCGAGATGAGATGCTGCATGGTGAGGACCCGGATCATCCTGATACGCGCGCACTCTTCTTCTGATCCCACCGCACTCGACTAGAATAAGGACGGGAGATCACTTGCTCGACTCTGGTGCCTGAAGTTGGATTCGGAACCGCTCTCTTCTGGGGATCCACCTGCCGTTAAATAATGAACTACATCTCAATGTTACGATGCTTATTGTAAAAACGAAACTTTGCAGACTGCAGCGCTTCTGGAGGTGATAACCACAGAGAGCGTTATATGTTCTCTTACCAGGAATTGAAGAAACCATTCCAGAGCTCTTATGATATTGATCGATCCCGGCTCCTTCGATGACGGGACGACATATTCATACGGCTTACCATCACTCCTCCAGCTTTGCAAGATGCGGATTACCCCTCAATAAAGATAACGAAAAAGCTCTTGATCCTAGTCACCCGTTCTCGTTTCTAGTATACTTGCATGGCTTGATTGGCGTTCCTCCCGCTGCTGTCGGCGAGATTTCATCGTCGGAATGAGAGAATTGTGTTTGAGCTAAGGATTCATTTATCCACTGCATGTCCGAAAGGCCAGAGGTGTGACGTTAGAGGGTCTAGATTATCACGGCCTTCTTTCCAATCCATAACTGCTAGCTGGATCGCACAGTTAGAATCAACGATGGACGAATACCCGCTTCTTGGAGAATCGAATTTGCGGCGTAGAATTACCTACATTCAATACCAAGAACGGGACGCTCAGCCATGGATCAAAAGTGCCTTGTCGATCCGATTGAAATTGTCCTATGCACAACCGTTGCTGAAACACCTCGGTATTGACAAATGTCCGTGCTCGACTCTACTGCTTGTAAGCTTACCGACTTTATGCACTAGTATGAAGGTAAGCTCTTGGACTTGTAACGTTGGAACCGTATCGCTATGTCCAAGAGAAGGAATGGGAATCGCTAGTAATAAGTAGTCGCTGATGTGGCTACGGACAAGCGGGAAACTACGGATATGATACACGTGATCGCGGAGGAACCGGGCTATGCCAACGCTCCCAACGTTGCTCAGTGAATAAAGATGAGAGATATGGGACGAATGCAGTAAAGTAGGATGTAGAATCGGAACTAAATATCTCCCTTTCAATATGCTGGAATCGCCTGCGAAACCGAAAAAATATGGGGCTCTTAAGTCCCACCAGGAATGGAGCTCACACCAGACAAGCTACTAGCGTTTAAAATATCTGTTGATCCCGGCAACTCTCCCGTCATCTGTGGGCGTATTTGAATCATAAATGCCCTCCGAGCTTCGGATCCTCCATATATCTGGTTCATGAAAGTAAATCCGGTTGCTACTACTTTTACCTTGGTCCTTTCTCTCTCCTACTGTGCTCATCGCCCCTCCATTCTCTTCATTGCACGAGTTAATGCCAATTTCTTTCAGAGCTCGACTACCAGGCCACTGGTATGTTCTTTCAATTCCCACAATCTCGGCCTTTAGTAGTTAACTAAGGACACCCCTTCGCAACGCGCAGTACGTACGCACCTCATCCCGTCAGTCCCCAGCGACAATCGCGTGATAGAAACTCCTCTTCGTTACCAATTGAGGGAAGGAATGATTCATGATCTGGTACTACGAGTTCGAACTTCGGTCTTCATGCCCAGATTGTGAGTATTTTTGTTGTTCTATCTCTGGCATGTTCTCATAAGTTAGGCTTTGGGAACTAATCATAACACGGTGTCATGCTGCGGTGACCAGGTGAGATGCCCCGGCTCATCCATAATGAAACAAGAAGCGCGTGGTTCGTTCTTATTATGCCGCAGGTGACCAGAAGGAGAATTTGAAAATGCGTACTTAATCATAAAGTACTTGTTGATGAATGGCACGTCGGGATGCCTAAACGGATTCAGATAAAATTCATCCAAAGGAAGCATCCAGAGTTTTTGTTATCTTAAGAGTAAGAACACCAGTAGTTTCTGATTTCTCCCTTCCATGTTACCAAGTTACATATTAAACTTTACCCCGAGCATAGCATGTATTTCCTAGCCGAAATTGCATCTAGGACGTTTACTTCACCTGAACTTAGTATCCGTGTTCGGCAACGGAAAGAATATCCCCGCTAGCGTCGGTGGGTTCCCTCATTGGACTGAATAGCGTTGCCAGGGTCAGGACATGTGGCACGGATTGGATTTCCGCTAAGGACCACCCACTGCATGTCCGAAAAACCCTACTTAATGAAACCGTTCCAGCCAATGCTGGGATCTAGATCGTTATGGCTTGTAATCCATAACTTCTGGCTTGATGCAACTGGCACACTTGATATAGGACCTACGAGGTCCCCGTACAGTTTATTTGGCTGGGAGACGCGGTTGGAACAAATAAATTCTTCAATGTTCCTCGCATACATCTCGTAACAGCGCCTTCGTCTTCGTCGATTACATCACCTTTGAATGCAGCAGCCCTGGCGGTGGCGCAGAAAAAAGCCTTTTATTAATATCTATCTGCTGCCGATTCCAAAGGGTTGGGCGGGAGGAAGGCGGAAACGAAAGATTAAAGAATGGTAGCCGTTTTCGGGTGTGTATCTCTGAGCTAACACCTTGTAGAGGAATGCGGAATAACGTTTGTCTGATCTCTATTACGAGTCGAGCGTATTCCTCATCGTCCTTATTTTATGTCCGGTGCCCTGAAAGACACGTAGGAAAGGTCTTAGGTCGTTCATTTATAGTGTTTATAATATTATATGCTGAATAAATGGGCATCGAAAGAGAAAAATACTTACTGTCTGGAAACGCAACACAGAGCCGTTGGACCAAGTGTTACAGTTTTGGTACGTGCATAAAGATACAATGAGAAGGATCGGCCCGACATCCGCAAGGCGGCTATTTACATCTATTGATCTTACCGGATTCTCTTTGTTGTCATCTGCTTGTCATCATCATCTGCTCCCTCTCCACCTAAACCATCGTCTGACATGTTGTTGGAATTATTGCAGTGGGAGGCTTGCAGTAGGTATAATACTTAATTGTTAGCTACTAGAGCTCCTAATGAGCTCCTTATATACTACGGAAAGTATCTAGAATATTCTACCTAAAGTACTAAATATATCTAAGTATCGTGACTAAATGAGTAAGCCGAAGCTTCGGGAATCTTCTAGTACAAGCTTGAAGTTGTAAATCCCAACACATGTCTTCTGCTACAGCCTGCTTATTCCTGGTTTCCTGAGCCTATGACAATGTCCGTGACTACTACTGGGGATAGAAAGGTCGAATGCGGCTCGAATACAACAGTGATGAGCGAAGACCATCAATTCTCCTAACATCTGAATCAGATATGCTCTGGCGCCAGCGGCATTGCTTCTGCATCATCTATTTTTGGAGGAAGGGTTACAGACTTTCGATGTTCTATAATACTGCTTACCGCCCAGGCGCGTGAGCATAGCGCGCTCTAATGGGGAAACTGGGGAGTGCGTCATCGAACATTACATGAACATTGGCAAGGTAAAATATCTAAGCAAGAGAGATCTTCCCTGTGAGTACTGTCGACCCAATTTACTTTAGCAAAGACATATCTACGCAGAACTGGCGAGGTAAATGTGAACGCTCTTTGTAGATCCGGCAATGAATCTACGTTTTCACAAGATCCTTAATTTCGGAAGACAGCACCGCGTACATGCACATCAGACTGGCATCTCGTTGCGAATTAGAAAGTAGGAAAGGATTTGTGCGACTCTGGACGATATTGTTTTGGCAGCGGGCAAAATGCCTAATATTGTTATCGTATGCCTTCCGTTTTCATCACGATGACCTGCGAACATCTGCTTATAGCATACGTTCATGTAATGATCTTGCTAATACGAACCAGTGGCCACCATATCCCCAGCTGTTAGACAAGTCGTCTACACTGAGTCTCTT